TCTTGTCTTAAATTAAGACAAATATATTTTCTTGTCTAATATAAGATCAAACATATTTTCTTGTCTAAATTAAGTAAAACTTGTTTTCTTGTCTAAATTAAGACAAACATGTTAAAGTTGCTATTTTGTACACAATTTAATTAATCAAATTAAATCATGCATTCCAACTTAAACAAGTTGAATTCTATGAAACTAAATGGGAAATCTATTTGGACATAGATATTCCAAACTCCAATAAACTTAGAATAATTCTTAATCTCATTAAAAATAATTCAACTTATTAACCATGGAATCATTCCACTATAGATTCATGGTTGCACTCTTGGATTAACTGTAATTATAAAAAATAATTTAATACTTGATATTAATTATTAATTGTCTAATTGCAAACCTTATGTTATGAATCCTCATATCCAATGACAATAGCTAAAATTACAATTTTACCTTTTATGTCAATTTTGTCTCTTAGGTTCAAATTTCATCTAATTAGTGATTTCATACTCTAGATCTAATCTTTTGAGTATCTAGATGTGACGAATACCTAATTCATCGATCCACTAGGCCCAAATTAATCACTAATCTTCCTAAAATCACCAGAAGTGATATTAATGACATGAACTCTATTATTTGGATATATGTTTCTAGATGTTTATCTTGATTATAATATCAAATACAGAGTCTAGATCAACACTTTATGATGATCATACTCATGGTACATCAAAAATTATAAGGAGATTAAACATGAGTCCTTTATTCATTAGGATTTTGATTCTACTATAAGCAAATACATAAGTGTGAGATCAAGATTTAAGTAACGGTTAAACTTAAATTTAATTCTCACATTATTCCAATTTATGTTATAGTGTCATTAATTGAAATCAACCAATTCGATGATTTAAAACTCATCATTCCCTTGAAGTGAATCACATTCATTTTGTTAGAAGTAATCTGGACACTACAACCTTAACACAATAAAGTGATCAGCTTTATTATATGGCTGTGAATAATTTTTAAATTCAATTAAAATACATGTCTCTTATGTATGACTCTTCATACAAATGTATTTTAATATTTCAATAAAATCATAGTACCTTAATAACTTAATAATGAATGCTTACTTAAAACAAACTCTTTGTCTTATTATCAAAATGTACTTTCATTACAAATTTAATGAAATTAAGCATAGGAATATACTTGCTTTCTAGGGTACCATATTCTCAAAATTCCTGATAGTTTCACCATTTGGTATTTGGAGATTTATTTGTTATTTACTCTTTATTTTTTTTATATTTCATTTCTTTTGTTTTTCTCTGTGGGTTTTTAGTTTTTTTTCCCAAATCAACATGTTTTCCTCCTAATGTTGAGCTTGTCTTTTACTTTGCATTTTCATTTATTGTTTGGTTTTTCTTTGTTTGATGTTGGGTTTATTTTGGTCTTTAGATACAAAATAGTTCAAGATTTGCATTGTGAAGTGTATGGCTAAGAGTTGAGATTTCTCATTTCCGACTGTTATTTTTTATATAATTAGACATTAGTTACTATGCCGAAGTGTCTTATGTTTGGTTTTTGGTGGATTCATGTTTCTAGCCATGCAAAAATCTTTTATTTTTTAATATTTTAATGTTGAATGGATATGAAGTTTTGAAACTTTTATCTCTAATTTTACCAATATGTCTCAAAGATCTATGGTTTCAAGGCATTATTATTTTTTACATTACTTTTGTTCTACAAACTCATCTATCTTTTCTCTTCTTTTTATATTTTTAGTAAAATTTCATTAGCAGCAACTTTATTTATAAATTATTTTTTAACTTTCATCTTTGTATATTTCATGTTTGCTTATATATGTTTTGTATGTGGGTTTTCTGATGAATTTTATTGTATTTTTTTGTAAGTTGTGTTCTTTTGCATATTGCTTTAGGTTTTGGTATTTGATTTCTTTTATTTTTCATAGTGAGTTTTTAGTTTTTTGCCCCAAAATTTCTCTATATTTTATTAAATGTTGTGATCTTTTCTATATTGCTTTAGGCTTTTGTATTTGATTTCTTTTGTTTTTCTCAGTGGATTTATAGTTTATTTTTCAATTGATGGTGTATTTTTCTCAATATTGGGTCTGTTTTTTACCTTGTATTTTCATTTATTGTTTTGTTTTTCTTTGTGTGATCCTGTGTTTATTTTGTTCTCCAGGTACAAAAGAGTTCCCAAGATTCCCATTTTGAAGTGTAAAGCTAAGAATTATGATTTTCTATTTCTCACTATAATTTTTTTTTACCCTTAGACATTAGTTATTAGGCCCAAATATCTTATATTCGATTTTTGGTTGATTCAAGTTTCCAGCCATGAAAAGTTTTTTTTTTAGTATTTTAATGTTGAATGGATTTGAACTTTTGAAACTTTTATCTTTAGCTTTAACAATGCGTCTCGAAGATTCATGGTTTTAAGGTATTATTCTTTGTTACATTACTCTTTTTCTTCAAAACCCATTTGCCTTTTCTCTTCGTTTTATATTTTAGTAAGTTTTTGTTGGTAGCAACTTTATTATAAATTATTTTCTAACTTTCATTCTTATATATTTCATGCTTGCTTATGTATGTTTTGTATGTGGACGTTATATGTTTATGACATGCTATCCTGAATCAATTTTATTTTTCTTCGTTATAAGCTTTATCTATGGTGTTTAAGAACAATTACTACATACTATTTCATGTTAATTTCTTTACATACCCTTTTTGATCAATTATACAAACAATTTGCTCTTACATGAAAAATGAAAAAAGCAAAGACAAACAGCTTTGTGATGGCTCATCAATTCCTATGTGATTTGCATTCTTACCAACAAAATATTTCAGTGAAAGTTAGAATAGTTCACTTATGGGAATCGATTGATTTCTCTTGAAGTCAGATGTTGCTTAATCTTGGTTTCTTGGCTACAAACATGCATGTAAATAGTTATATTAAGAAAACATTACTTCTAATTGCTTATAAAATTTCAATGGGATACGATCATTCACTATTTCTAGCAAATTATTTTTCATCTAAATTTCAAAACTATCGAAATCACTTAATTTTCTATTATTTTCCAAAAAAAAAATGCCATGCATTTCATGATAAGGAGCTTCGATACAAAAAGGTTTGCATCTCAACTAAAAAAAGGCTCTTTATACATTATAAAAAAAATTTCAGGTTGTCGTTCAGAAAAATGTTTTCAATGTGATTTTTGCAAACACTATTGCCATGTTCACAAGAAACACTTAACTTTAAGAGATTCAAGAAGACTTGAGTCTATACCCTTCATATTACTTTGTTTTCACAGCCTTCAATGACTTGAATGGTAGAGTTTACGATGATGTGATTTTGATAGGTTTAACCATTTCAAATATTGCTCAAAACTTTGTAAAGGATAAACTTTCACTCATTTTTTATATCACTGTGATTTTTATACATTTTGTGTGACTTATAAATTTTCTTTAATGATTCAACTCATTCATAATATCATTTTGCCATATTCGTTTTCAAATTTTTTTTAAACAATTATTACTAAGATTGTTTTAACATATATCTTTGTAATTTCAGGACTTTATTGGGGCTTTGAAATAAATGACTACTATTGAACAAGTTTGTTTATAGTACAAAACAAGTGATATTAGGAAATGCAATCTTTACATTGAAGACCTTAAGTAAATAATAATATGATTATTATTGTTGTTTACTTTACTTGATTATGCTCACACTTCAATATCATATAGAAAATGTCTCACTTAACATTTCACTATTTATAACGGGAACAACTAGAAGGTTGTTTTATATGGAGATAAAGCTGATCAAATCAATGAAGATAAACTTTTAGATGACACCATTAGCCTTATTGTCACATTAGCTGCCACAATAGTCAAGAGATACATGAGTGAGTATATTATATGTTTTTAATTGATTTTATACTACACGCATATACATTGATTTCTTTCTTTCTATGATAACCAATAATACTACAAATTTTTACAATATTTTCTCTTATTTCAAACACTCTATACTTGGCATCATACTCGACAACTAAAATATATGTGGATTTAGGCATTCTTCATATTGTAGCATTCAAAATGAGGTAAGATCTATTTATGGAGAACAAAATGCTTATTGTCATTATTAGAAAAGAAGCGCCACATAGACCAAATGTTAGTATTGTTGAAATCACTAAGTAAAGTTACTTATCATGTATTTTATGTGTTTTTATATCCTACAGCCTACATTCACTACTCTTAAATAAATAACCACTTAAACAATTATGCAACTTTTGACCTTTTCTATACACATTACAGCTCAGAAACAACTTCATAAATGCCTATATAAAGTAAGCACCATATGATTATTAAAATATAGATATATTTCAACAAAACATTATTTTGTCTATATCACATGAGTGCATTACATGGACATAGTCTAGTGGCTTTAATAATCACCTTTCAAAAATAAAAAAAAGTCTTCAATAAACATTTTCTTTTCTCAACTTATTATCATTATTTTAAGGGTAAAATACTCATATCTCCCTTAAATTTCAAGCATAATTTCAGATTGATCAATTAATTTTCAAAATGGACAATAAAACTCAAAAGTATAAACACCGTTAATAAAAACTATGAAATGATTAAAATACCTTTTCTTATTTATCCTTTATTTTTTTTCTCTCAAACAATGTGACGGTCGGTGGTGCTCCCATTCGTCGATCAACCACCTCACAGTTGGATCTCACTATCCATGGCCAAATCTAGCTAGATTTAGAGCGCTTCCCATAGGATTGGGGGGTGGTGTGCGGCTCCATTTAGGAGTGTGGGGGAGGGACATCTAGCCGAAGCCATGTTTAGCGCTCCTTGGTCGAAGCCTGATTTGGTGCTCCGATTGCAAGAGGAGGAAGGGGAGAGATTTTTTTTTTGAATAGGAGAACAAATTAAAAATGAAAAATTATACTTTATATAAAGGGGGAATTTTTAAAATTTATGAAAGGTAAAATTGTTCTTTTAATATAACTACATCATCAAACTAACAAAAATATTAACGGTTGATTAATGGTTGGATTTATAAATCCAGTTGAAAATATTAGTTTGAGACAGATTGTATATTTTGAATATTCATTAATTTATGTAAAATTATAATTAAAAGTTCAAAAAATCAAGATATTTTATCTTTACTTTGACCGAGCAAACATTTTCCCGTTATTAATTTTAATCTCAATGCTACAATTCCCAAATCTCATTGTTATGGTCACCGTTGTTTCAATCTCACGTTACCAGTCTTACATGTGTGCCTAATGGATCTTCTTTGGTTGGTACATGATATCAAGATTCGACTTTCTTTTTGACAATTGAACGTGAGTCCCCGCGAGAGAGCCGGCATTTAATAAACGACATCGTTATGGATCTGTTAGGGAGCCGGCGATCGCCTGATTGAATGGTTCTTTTTCATTTTTTTGGAGCTTCAGCAGTGACAGCCTATAGAAAGCGGAAACCACCCAATCTCTTCAAAATTTCAAAAAGAAATTTCATTTTTCCCGCCAAAATAAAACCCCCAAACCTCTCTGCCAATTCTCAACCTCCAAACCTCTAATCCTCGAATCGCCATCGCTTTTAAAAGGAAAACAAATGGAGGAAGGCATAATATCAGTAGATCGATGGGCAGAGGGCAGCCAAGCTTACTTCTTAACGCACCTGCACGCGGACCACACTCAAGGCCTGACCTCTTCCTGGGCCAAGGGTCCCATCTTCTGCTCTAGCCTGACCGCCAAGCTCTTCCCCTTCAAATTCCCTAACTTCAAACTCTCCCTTCTTCGCGTCCTTGATCTCGGCTCCTGGCAGCCTCTCTCTCTTATTTCCCCTTCCACCGGATCGAAAATCACAGTCCAAGTCATGGCCATTGACGCTCACCATTGCCCCGGTTGGAAAATGCACATATTTGTTTTAATAAAATTAATATCTAATCTCTTTTTAATTGTTTGATTATTTGGCAGGTGCAGTTATGTTCTTGTTTCGTGGAGAGTTTGGATGCTTGCTGAACACTGGAGATTTCAGATGGGAAAAAAACACTGAGAGGGCTAAATTAGGAAGAGAGATGCTGCTGAATGCTCTTCAGGATGATGTGGTTGATGTTCTTTACTTGGATAACACATATTGTAATCCTTCCTATGAATTTCCTTCCAGAGAAGTTGCTGCTCAGCAGGTGCTTTTCGAATTTTCCAATTGAGACGTTTTTTTTGCCTTCCAGTGTATCTCAATCTTCTTGCTGGCAGCTATACAGTTCGAATACAATCAATCATTGGTTAAACATGATAAATTATTTGAGATATTTAAGACCATCGAAGTTCTCTGGGTATCTAGAATTTTCAATTTACGGATGATATCTTGAACCGGAGATGAACTCTAGACATGGATAGCTAGATTGACAGTTTATTGTTAGACACTGTTTTAAGTTATGTGCATTCTTGTATTTCTTGTATCATATTATATGTTTATTGATGGTTTAGGAGGTTGGGATTTGTTTGTACCTTTCATGACTAAAATTAACTTTTGAACATTAGACATTTCCCTGCTTGCTGATTTTTAGTGGAAAATTTGCAGTCATAATGCAAATATAAATTATTCGTGGCGAGAAAAAGCAGGGGAAATTATACTACAATCATCAACAACAGTTTGAAATGTTGCTAAAAGTTATCCTCTTAATGTACAATAATGGCTACAGTGGCTTGAATCATGTCTGCAGATTTATCAATTTTAACATGAGTCTCTATCTGTTGGAGACAACACATTCAAAATGAGTTTGTACTAACAACAGGTTGCTGATAACAGGTTGTTGATATCATTACATCCCATCCAGAACATGACATTATCATTGGGGTTGACACCTTGGGCAAAGAAGATCTTTTGCTTCACATCTCAAATGCGCTTAACACGAAGGTTTATATAATTGGTTTTCTCTATAGTCTATTAGTTGAAATATTCAGTTGAATGAGATTTCTTCTAACTTGGGAAACCACTAGGGCAGATAGTTGAGAGGATTGTCTGTTCTGATTTAATCCCTTTATCGCAACATATCATTTTTATGCCTTATATCTCTAGAGATAGCCTAGTTCACTGCTTCAGTTCTACAGTTATTTGAGATGCAGTGTGATAAACCTGGCTTTCACTAGTTGCTCATGTACCATGTTAAATTCTGTGTGTGCATTGGCTTTTCTCTGACATGCATCGCCTCTTAAGAGAGTATCTGACTGAAAATAGATCAATTGTTCAAGTAGTTTCTAGTTTTTCTTCCTTCAAAACATGGAGAGTATGTTATATTTGAAGATTAATGTTGAATTATCTATAACATTTTAAGCCTTTCGAGTCAGTTCTTAATTTTTTTTCATTTTTTTCTTCTTTGGGATCCTTGTAGATTTGGGTTTGGCCTGAGCGCCTCCAAACCATGCATCTTCTTGGGTTTCATGACATTTTCACAACCAAAACATCTGTTACAAGGGTGCGAGCTGTTCCTCGTTACAGTTTTAGCATCGAGACTTTAGAGGGATTGAACACAATGCGCCCAACTATAGGAATCATTCCATCTGGTCTTCCATGGGTGGTTAAACCTATTGAAGGAGATGACAAGCTTTTTGGTTCTCTTTTAGTTTCTCGTTACAACAGAAGCAAAGTGAGTTCAAAAAGTGGGAAGCAGAATGATAAAATGGATGGCAATTTAGGATCTGTGAAAAGGTTTCACAAGTACATATATTCAGTCCAATATTCCGATCACTCGTGCTATCAGGAGATAGAGGAGTTTATAAAGCTTGTGCATCCAACTAACATGAAAGGCATCGTGTCTTCATCATCTTGTTATGTTGATCCTCTTTATTACTTTGGCCGCCTTTGTGGAATAAACCAACCATTACAAGGGATGCACCATCAACATCAAAAGAAAGAGAGAGGGGACAGAGTTGTACCTGTCCATACAAATTCTAAGTTTAGAAGTGGTTGTTATAGTGGGGTAGAAAAGAAAAGAAAAAAGGTGGTTGGTCGTTTAGGAGTTCATCTGAGCTGGATGAGTGTGCTGAGACAAGCTCAGCGAGGTGTAAAGCTTGCTGAAAATGAGTGTTCTGATTGACTAGAGACTAGAGTTGAATCTTGGTATCTATTAAGTTGCCAGATGCTGTAAATGATGTTGACTGTTACTGGTAAATTGAGAATGTAATTGTATAATACAGGGATTAATTGAACTGAAGGTGTTGAATGTAAAGCTTGGTTCTTTTTCTGCTTGGCTGTTTGAAGTTATGGTTTCTGGTAAGTAGAACTCTAGACAAGTGACTGCACTTGGATTGGGGAAGCTCCACAAACTATCAGATTCAAAAAGCTGAAGATAATAGTAGGCAGTAGGCTCCTAGAGATACCATGGAGCATGAACAATGGGTTTGTCATCCTGCTAATTATGCATGATAGAAACTACATAAATAAGTAAGCATTCAATACATTCTTAAACCTTAGGCGTTAAAGTCTTGCCTTTTATTGGTTTTGCAGGTAGTTATCTAGTTGAGATGCAATCAGCGGTAAACATGACGGTTGCTCTGCTGCTTAAAAATAGGTCCTTCTGATCATGTTCGTAGTGATAACCTCTCATGATGTAGAATTCGCTTGAAAGTAGCAGCTCTTGTAGAGTTTTCCTACATTTTCATTAATTGTGTAATGTGCATTGAAGTTGATGAAAATTGAGTAAGCTTAGTAGAAAGCATAGTCTAATTGGTAGTCATGCCTATTTTTTTATATAGAGGTGTAAAGTTCAAGAAAGTGAGTGCTTTGTTAGCTTGATCTGGATGTTGAACAATTATGTTTGCCTTTAGCCACACGGTTTGGTGACTTGGTGTTGGATGTTGAACATTAATGCTGCCCTCTAAGTTGTAGCCGTACGTGGTAGAAGAGATAGAAACATCAAAAGGAATGATTCCAGCATTTTTTTTTTCTTTTTGGCCTTGCTACCTCTAGGCTTTAAACCTTGGGAGTTGCGGAAATCCACTTTGTCGTTTTCTGTGAATTTTTTTTGAAGAAATTATGAAAGATAATTTTCTTTATAAGTTTAATTTAAAAATATTTTTTATAATTTTAATTATTTTTAATTAATTTTTAACATGACTTGATAACAATATCTTTTAAATAATTTCAAACAAACTAAAATAATTTCAATTTTTTCTATTCTGCCAGATAAAAATTTTAAAATTAAATCTCAATTTTTATCTCTGATCAAATATTATCTATTTCGTCATTTAAAGAGTAAAGATGACATCAAGCTCTTTCTTATTTGGTTTTATTTTTTTGGGTGGTAGATCTTGAAGTTTTCAAGGGTAATAAACAATGATTTTACTCTTATTGCAAGTAATATGATGAATGTGGTAATTGGATAGTTTTTGGTGATGACTTGTTTCGAAATGTGTGCTGCGATAAAAATGCCTATGTTAATGAGTTGGATAGGATTGATTAAGATGATGGGCTGAGGGAGAAGGAACAGCTAAAGCATGTTTGATGAGTTTTGTGGTGGTTCACGATTTTGTTGTGTTTGGGATTGAGATGATTTTTAAACATGTTTGTTGAGGATTTTGATTTTTTTATGAGATTTTGAGTTAAAATTGTTCAGAAAATATTTTGTGAAGGGAATATATTTTGTTTTTGTATAAGGGGAGTGAGCAAAGCCCTCCTGGGGTATATTTTATCTTGCATTAGAGAATTATGGAGTTTTGTAACCTATCTTTTATGAAATACACAATTTCATGGCTTAGCAAAAAAAAAGTATGTGTTTTATACTTTTGAGTTTATTAGTTTATTTACAGAATTTTAAAGTTGAGAAGTTAAAATTGATTAGATTGGTTTTTAAGTATTGCGAGATTGATTTTTAGGCATTGTGTGACTTAATCACTGTGTGACTGATTTTTAGGCATTACATAATGCCGAAGTCACACAATACCTTACTAACAAGTCACGCAATGCCATATTAACCAATCATACAATATTTAAAAACTAGTCATGTAATGCTCAAAGTCAATTACACAATACTTAAAAATTAGTCAATCACTGCCCAAAGTCAATCACGCAATGTTTAAAAACTAGTCACGCAATACTCAAAAACCTCAAAAACTACTGAATTTCATTTAATAAGATTAACTTCAAATGATATAACATATTCCATTTAACAACATAAGTAACGAATATACCTACCTGATAAAAAATGTTCCAAATGTTTAAAAGTTTTTCTTCATATATTAAAAATTACTTCAAAATTTTAAAAATGCTCAAAACGTTTAAAAGTTTTCTTCGTGTATCAAAAACTACTCCAAAATGCTCAAAATGTTTAAACTTTTTTTTTATAAGGAATTCTCTAGAGATAAATAATTTAATGAAAAAAGCTCAAAGAGTATGAATCGATTTGAGACGTTGACCTAAACATACGTGACTCGTTAATAAGTTTCGGGTTGAGGCGCAAAGTTAAATAAATAGGTCGATTTCATTAAAGATAATTTTATCTAAATTTTAATTTTTTAATTAAAAATAATTAAAAGTATAAAAAAATTTATTATTAGACACGTTTTATGCCTGAGATCTATTTAAAAAAAACTCTTTTTTTTTTTTTTATGTTTACGTTTCCGTTCACCCTAAAAAATTTTGCTAGTCCAAGGCCTCGGGGCTTAGGCTCATAGGATAAATAGGTGCACTTACGACTGCTGTTAATACTAACCCACTCCCACCTCTTTCATAGAGCTGGATTGAGTGGGCTGGGCAGTCGACCAGGTCCATGGCTGTTGCCGTGCATCGTTGGTTGATTGTTTCTTTCAGGATCAGAAGTCATGGGAAGAAAAGTCATTCGCCTGTAGCAGCCCGGCTGGTTTGACAAAGTCGAACGGGAAAGTGCTTGATTAATGAATGCAGTAAATTAAATAATGAAGCAGTTGATTTATCTCCGGCTACGGTGGGCAATGTGGAAATGCAGTCAGCTTCTCGTGCTCAAAGACCTACTCTTTGGTTTAAACAGGTGATCTGTCTACTAAATTATTTGGACATATTCATTGAATTCTTCTTCCTTTTCCCTGTTTTAATTTGATTAGAAAATTTAGATGAAGATTTTTCCCTGTGTTCTTTCTTACCTTGTGGTGACTGCCGTCGATGCTGCTTCCAAGGAAGGTCTAGCAAAATGATGACCATCCTGGATTCTAGATCCTGAATTGAATTTCTTGCCATTTGAACAGTTTTTACAGGGTGGTGTCGGAAACAGACCCAATAGCCAGTCAGTGTGCACCTGAAGCCCAATCCTTATTCTCCTAGGACTAAAAAACCACAATCTTGACACGTTTGACTGCAACCTTCCGGGTAAAATGGGTTATATTGGAATCCTCGGACAAGTTGTAATTATTGAGCAGGTTTTTCTTGGTTTGAATGTTTATTGTAAATTAGAGATCAACAATTTTAACGGGTCAGATTGTTCGCTGCCTTAGCGCTAAAAGCCTACTTGTTCCCCCACTAGCTGTAAGAGCCGAAACAGATTCACGTTTCATTGAATGTGACTCGTGCAGCTTGTACTTGTAGGCCCTTTAACGTAAGGATTTGGATTTTGGACCCACAATTTAGGTCATTTCTTAGGATGATGGTGAATTTAATAGCCAATAAATGCTCCTACTGTCACCGCCCTCCGCTCAATAATTGGACTGTGCATTTTGCCTACTCTTTCTGCTTTCTATTTCATTAACGGATATTTTTAAATTTAATTAAACTAATATTTTTATATTAAATGTAGTAATTGATAATAAAGAAGTTTACTTTACAGGTAGTGTCTTTGCCATAATTCCTTTTTGTTTTTTTTTTAAAAATGATATCCCATGGTAGTAGATGTGCACATTCATGATGAGCATTCGCGGTCCAATCATCGTTCAATGTTGACCCAGTCTACGTGCTGTGCTGGTCATCACATATATGTATATATATATTTTACAATTCTAACTTTCCTGCACAAAACTCTTGGATGGAAAAAGGATTCGAAATATGTCTTTGACTTTGACTTCTCGCCCCACGAGACTGAGGATGATTGCAAGCTGTTCCTTGAGAGGCACTGCTCATGCATAGCAGGTGACTAAAATGCCCATGCTCTCTCCAGAACAAACAAAGGCCATACTTGTCCTCTCAAAAAGCTTGATTGGGATACAATAAAACTGCCCTGCAGCAGTCGTTGCTTCCTCATACAGGATTTGCTTTAGCAATCTGAGACCCTTTCTCCCCTTGTCTCGTATTCTAAACGGCTTTTTGTTCATCCAAACATCTGTCTTGTTTCTCCTGTCAGTAATTCTCTTACAGCCATGGACATCATAAAAAATCCATGGCTGATACTTTCCGTACTCTTCATTTACTTTTCTCCCAACTGCCGACTCTCCTTTGGTGCTGACACCATCTCAGCAAATCAATCTCTGTCCGGTGATCAAACAATTGTTTCATCTAATGGAGACTTTGTATTGGGCTTCTTCAAACCAGGTAACTCTTCCAACAACTATGTAGGCATGTGGTACGGTAAGGTGTCTGTACAGACCACAGTTTGGGTTGCAAACAGAGAGACACCAATCCGTGATAGATACTTTTCAGAGTTAAAAATATCTAATGGTAACTTAGTTTTGTTCAACGAGTCCCAAGTACCAATTTGGTCCACAAATATTAGCTCAACCAGTTCTAGTTCTGTGGTAGCAGTTCTTGAAGATAGTGGGAATCTTGTTTTGAGAGATGGGCCTAATTCATCAGCTCCGTTGTGGCAAAGTCTTGATCATCCAACACACACATGGCTTCCTGGTGGTAAGCTTAGCTTGAATAAACGAACCAATAAAAGCCAACTGCTCACGTCATGGAAAAATTCAGAAGATCCTGCACCGGGTCTCTACTCTCTTGAGCTAGACCCCAGTGGAATCAATCAATATTTGATACTATGGAATAGGTCCGAAAATTACTGGACCAGTGGAACTTGGGATGAACAGACGAGGATTTTTAGCTTAGTCCCGGAAATGAGATTGAATTACATCTATAACTTCAGTTTTGTTACGAACGAGAACGAGAGTTATTTTACTTATTCTCTTTATAATCCTGCAATCATATCTCGATTTATTATGGATTTTTCGGGGCAGATTAAGCAACTGTCATGGTTGGAAAGTAGCAAGCAGTGGAATTTGTTTTGGTCACAACCCAGACAACAATGCGAGGTTTATGCTTTTTGTGGGGCTTTTGGCAGCTGCAATGAGAGAGCTCTGCCTTTCTGTAATTGTTTGAGAGGTTTCCAGCCAAAGTCACAAGACAATTGGAATCTAAGCGATTATTCTGGTGGGTGTGAAAGGAAAACCAAGCTGCAATGTGAAGATCCCAGTCCTGCTAATGGAAAGAGTGATAAATTTCTAGAAAGCCCAAACATGGTACTGCCTCAAGGTGCCCAGTCTATGACCGGTGGGAGCATTTCGGAATGTGAATCAACATGCCTCAAGAATTGTTCTTGCACTGCTTATGCTTATGATAGTGATGGGTGTAAAATTTGGATTGGAGAACTCTTGGATCTGCAGCAACTTGCGGAAGATGCTAGCAGTGGAAAAACAATATACATCAGGCTAGCGGCATCTGAGTTTTCGAGTTCCAGCAACAATAAGGGAATAATCATTGGAGCAGTTGCAGGTTCAGCCGGTTTAGTCCTAGGCCTTGTAATGTTTGCAATCTTGAAATGGAAGAGACGAACGATGAAAATTCCGAAAGCAGTTGAAGGTTCACTTGTGGCTTTTGGATACAGAGACTTACAGAATGCAACGAAGAATTTTTCTGAAAAACTGGGGGGAGGAGGCTTTGGTTCTGTTTTTAAAGGAACATTGCCGGACTCGAGTTTCATAGCTGTGAAGCAGCTTGAGAGCATCAGTCAGGGAGAGAAGCAATTTCGCACAGAGGTTAGCACAATTGGGACAATTCAACATGTTAATCTGGTGCGGCTTCGTGGGTTCTGCTCTGAAGGTACAAGAAAGTTGTTGGTATATGATTACATGCCAAATAGTTCCCTGGATGCCCATCTCTTCCATGACAAGAATTCTAAAGTTCTAGACTGGAAAACAAGGTATCAGGTTGCACTTGGTACAGCCAGAGGCTTAGCTTATCTTCATGAGAAGTGCAGAGATTGTATCATTCACTGCGACATCAAGCCAGAAAACATTCTCTTAGATGCTGACTTCTGTCCAAAAGTTGCAGATTTTGGCCTGGCAAAGCTTATTGGGCGGGATTTCAGCAGGGTCCTGACAACTATGAGAGGGACAAGGGGCTATCTTGCACCAGAGTGGATTTCAGGAGTCGCCATTACAGCTAAAGCTGATGTCTACAGCTACGGGATGATGCTTTTTGAGTTTGTGTCCGGAAGGAGAAACTCTGAACAATCTGAAGATGGAAAAATTAGATTCTTTCCAACTTGGGCTGCTAGCCTAATAACTCAAGATGGTGATGTCCTTAGCCTATTAGACGCCCGACTGAAAGGAGAAGCCCCTGTAGAAGAGCTCTCAAGAATATGTAAAGTGGCTTGTTGGTGTATCCAAGATGATGAAACTCACAGGCCATCAATGGGTCAGGTTGTTCAGATCCTAGAGGGGGTTTTGGATGTGAACCTGCCTCCAGTTCCAAGATCTTTACAAGTGTTTGACGACAACCAAGAGCATATAATCTTCTTCACAGAGTCATCCTCGAGCCAGAGTTCACAGGCACAGAGCAACATTTCAACTGCCTCTTCTCAGGCTAAGAGCAGCACATCAACAATGAGTTCATAAATCATGCAAATAATTGTGTGGAAGTGCGTTGAGATAGTCAGCTTCGTCATGTATATTTTTTTGAGAGTTTGTCTTTTCATTCTTTTTTTTTCCCTGATGCCCGAGTCATTCTTAGTAGAGGTTGCTTTCTTTGTAGAGACCGGGGCATGGTGCTTGCATAAGTTGAGAGAAGCCTTGCTTCATAAATCATAATTATAGGCATGGGATAATGTAACTGGCTATGGATGTTTCTATGGTCTCAAAGCTTTGTTGATATGTATTTGCTTATTGTAGATCATATTCACGCAAACAGTTTAAATCTTTCATTGCAACAGTAAACTTTGCATTAAACTATGAGGATTCCAAATTGAAATTGTCTTTATTTATCCTTCACAATTGATTGAAACAGAAAATTTCAATGGATTTTTGTGATGATAATAGTAACGAATCTCCTCCATCAGGTATAGATTTCATTTGGCTTTCTCCCTCCATAATACAAACAGGTACAGAAACATTCATAGGGCGCAATATCTTGCTATTAATTGTAACAATATTGCATACACTTGACCATAACTGTTTCACTTTTATTGAAGCCGAGACTTGCATGGAAAATCATAGCAGCCCTCATGCACGTGTAGGTTTCTTGTTAAGATGGTTTTAGTATTGTTTCATCAGCTTCAATGCTGATATGTTACTGTCAAAGCATGCATAGATTAGATGTCTACCTTTTTGCTTTGGTTAGTGTAATGCAGAAGAGAAATGATGTATTAGCTCTTGTTTTGTTCATAGAACAATTGTAATATGAATTAATGAAGGTTAATGAGATCGGTAGCCATTCTCTTCCATTTCAATTTAGTTCTGTAGCCTCTTTATAGCATTCATTCTGCTTTAATGGCCATGTTAAGTTCTACAATATCTAGCTAAAAACACATGATGGTATCATACCTTATATGATCTTAAGGGGTCAGATAGCAATAAAAACAACCTTTACATAACCCTAAGAACAAGTCTGTCACAAACAGAAGCTAGTAATCCTCAAACACGGTCTCGAGCAATTTCTCTCATATAGCTCCACCCACCTTTAATGGTGAGAATTATCATATATGGTCAGTCAAAATGGAAGCTTATTTGAGGACATTTGACTTATGTGAGGTTGTTGAGCAAGGAGGATAACCCCTTACACTTAGAGCTAATCCCATGATAGCTCAAATGAAGCAACATTGTGAAAATTTTGCTAAAAGGTACAAAGCTCTTTCTTGTATTCACTATGCAGCGATATGTTCTATCTTTACAAGGATTATGGCTTGTGAATCAGCTAAGGAAGCTTGAAATAAGTTGAAGGAAGAGTTTCAAGGCTCTGATAAAACTAGGCAAATGCAAATTCTCAACTTGATGAGAGAATTTGAGGTGTTGAAAATGAAAGACAACGAAGCTATCATGGACTACATTGATGAGCTTATGAAGATAATGAACATGTAAGATTGTTAGGAGATGAAATGGTAGAGAAAAAGTTGTGGAAAAGGAATTAGTGAGTGTTCCAAAAAGATTTGAATCCAAAATATCATCGTTGGAAGAGTCTAAGGATCTATCCAAGCTCACCTTAACTGAAGTAGTTAATGCCTCACAAGCATCATAACACAAGAAAGCCATAAGATTGGATGATGCTGTAGAGAGTAGTGAACTACATGCAAAACTTAAAGAAAAAGCCGTTGTTGATGGCTTTGTGTTGTTTATTTTTTATGCAAGTGCATGTATCGTTAACAAGTAATATAGTGATAATGTTGAGTTTTGTTTCCATAGAGAATTGTTTTAATTCCTATTGTTAAATACTAAAATTGACACATCCTAATTTTATCGAAACAAATAAAATTAAATTTTAAAACTAATAAACTAAAAATAAAACTAATCTAAAAGTTATTAGTAAGTTTATTAAATTTGAGTAACTATTAGACTTAAGATTATGATATCCCTTAATATTGTTTTTCTCTCTTAACTCAGCTTAATGGATTAAGTTACTAACCTAGAGTCCTAAATTATTTACAAGTCCTTGTTGAGTTTCTCATAAAAATATCTCTCTCAATTAACTTATTATATGTTTATACAAATTAAAATGAAAAAAAATTCATTAAGTTCAAGCTCTAATCCTAGCTACGTATGGATTATAGGTGTATGTTCACCCTATATGCAAATCAAACCGCATGATCAACTAAGTGCATTTGATCATACGCTATTCTATTTTAGATCTACCTAAATCTCTTTCGTTAAGGTTTAACCTAGGTTTTCAATTAAATCTAATGGGTGATCAGGCAATTAGAAGTGTTAAGAATAAAATAAAATAAACAACTTAAATCCATTAAACATAAGCAAAAGAGAGAAAAATAAATTAGACTACCTATTGAATTCAATTATAATCTTAGATAAATAAATTAGTTCCCCATCAAGTAACACATCATTATCGAATTAAGTTTAAACATTCAAATCAAACTAAAAAAAAAAGAATAACGAAAAGATAAAACTCAAGAATTGTAATCTTGATCCTCTAAATCTTCTTGAATCCTTCAAATTCTTTTTAGCTTCAATGACTTTGTGGCTTGATTCTCAGCCATCAATCTGGTGTTTCGTTATCTTCTTAAAAGTCTTCCGAAAGGTTATTTTTATAGGGCTTTGAAGTTAGGATAAGTTTGGTGAAGAAAAAATTCAATTCCAACTAGAATTTTCTTATTAGACTATGTGAGCGGCGACCTCAATCCATTTATTAGTAGAAATCATAATTGCTCTAGGATTGCTGCAGTGTTCTACCTTCGACAAGATTTTCACCAACTTACAAGGTGAAGTGATATATATGAAAGTTGTAGTTTTTTCTCTTAGCTTTTCAATGATCTAAGAATCATCTTATTTGGAGCTTTGTAGAGAGAGTTATAGTTGAAATACCGAAATATGTGTAGTAAAAGTCTACACTTCGAAATTGCTTTCCTTCTTTCATTAAAATTCTTCCTTCATTAAACCAACAAAAGCACAAATAAATCAATAACAATGTATCTTAATCACATTAACACCAAATTAAACACAAAATTAACTAAGATTATATTGACTCACCTAAATTAACAAATCTAAAATAATTAAATAAAACTTATTAATTTTTATACATTACTGTTGTTGATTTCTCACGGAAGTGCACGTACCATTAACAAGTAATATAATAATGAGTAAAATTCGTTCCCATGGAGAATTAAATTAATTCTAAATTGCTAACTACTAAAATTTTAATACTTTAATCTTATCCAAACAACCTAATTATTAAAAAGAAAAATTGAAACTAATAACTAAAACTAATCTAAAATCTATGAACAAAATTATTTTTTTAAATTTGAGTGATTACCAGACTAAGATTATGATATTCCTCAATATTTCATCTAAATATTGTCTCATTTTCTTAACTCAGTTTAATCGATTAAGTTGCTAACTTAGAGTCTGAAATTATTTACAAGTCTCTGTAGAGTTTCTCATAAAAATACATCTTTTAATTAATTTAATATGTCTATGCAAATTAAATTGAAAAAAGATTCATTAAGTTCTTGCTCTAATTTTGGCTATGTATGGCTTATAGGTGTATGTCTACCCCATATGTAAATTAAACCACCTAATCAAGTAAATTCATTTGGTCATATGCTATTCTATTCAAAGTTTATCTAAATCTCTTTCGTCAAGGTTTAACCTAGGTTTCCAATTCTCTCTAATTGGTGATGAAGCAATTAGAAGCATTAAGAACAGAATAAAATAAATAACTTAAATCCATAAAACATAAGTAAAAGAGAGATAAATAAATCAAACTATATATTAAGTTCAATCATAATTTTAAATAAATAATTTAGCTTCCCATCAAGTCACACATTATCATCAAATTAGGCTTGCTGAAGAAGCTACATTCTTTCCAACATAGGCTTGCTGGTGTGGCTTACATTCTTTCCAACTTGGGCTTGTTGGTGTGGCTTGCTGGTGCGTCCAGGATGACAAAATTCAAGCACTCATTTTTCTAGCACATTTTATCTTGATATTAAATCTGTATTTTTTAATGGTTTACTCAAGGGAGAGATATTTATTGAAATTCAGGCACATATTTTTATCTTGATATTTAATTGATGGTTTACTTAAGGGAGGGATATTCATTGACCTAGCAAAGCTTCTCAGACAAGAGTTTAATAGGGGATTGAGCTGATGTTTACAGCTATGGAATGTCTTGAGCCAGTGTCTACAGCTATGGAATGATGCTTTTCAAATGATGAAGAAAACTTTGGTCCCATAGCTGGTGTTTACAGCTATGGAATGATGCTTTTCAAATGATGAAAAAGACTTCGGCTTGCTGGTGTGTTCAGGATGACAAAATTGGCACCTATTTTTTTTTATTAACTCATTTTTAAGTGTTAATTACCATAATTTACATTAACATGAGAAGCATTGTTTACTTTAACTTGTTGAATTTATTATTTTATTTTATAAAAAGTGTTTATAAGTTGAAAATAATGTAAACTCTTAAATGTTTAATTTCATTATTTTATCGTTTTGAAACCATAATATTCTTTCTTGATGTGAGAATTATAACTTTTCCTATTAAGAGTGTAATATTCTTATGATTTTTGTTGGGAGCATACAATCTCTCCGATATAGAGTTTCGATAGATCTTCTTTGGGATCGTGATACAAAGGCAATGTTTTAGTTGATATTTCATCTCGAATATTGTTTTTGCTAAGCTAAACAGTTATTTATTAAAAAGCCTACAATTACTTACAAAAACCAAACAAAAGATCACCTAAAAGGAATATTAAAAGAGCAAGGAACCCCGTAATAAAAACCAAGGCCCAAACAGCACTAAGAAAACAAACCGAGAAACACCGAGACCTAGAAACCCTTTAATCTCCCAACAATAGAATGCATCTTTTCATTCAATACAAGTTGCAACCAAAATCATCGAGTACGAAACTTCTGTAGGTCGGTAAATTGAATCCCGAATTAGTTCATGAAGTATGGGTTCAGGATTTTTAAATTTGGGGATGAATATATAGCTTATGCTTTCTTTCTTTTTTTTGGCCCAAGTCATCTTGCAAGTTTCTTGATCTCTTTCTGGGATTATGCTCCATCATAAGTTAGCGGAGGCCTGCTTCTTGGTTTGAGTTATGAAACAATCTTTGTTGACTCTTTCCGTGGAGTGAGCTCTAGAGTTCATTAGCATGGAGTGAAGTTAAGCCTTGACTCTTTTGCAAAATAATGCATCAAACTAGGGGTTTAAGAATCGGAGTTGCTGTTATAATGATGCAAAAGCTGTGACCGAAGTGATTCAGTTTCAGTTTCACTTGATCGATGTGAACGTTCTTCACTGTACTCCTGCATTTAAGTTGTGTATTTGTTCCCTTGTTGGATGCTGGGGGAAGATCTACTGTTTTTTTTCAATTCTTTTTACCCCTTCCTGGTAAGACCGTGTAAGTGCTAGAGAAAATTCACTGAAGACAGACAAAGCTATGGATAAGTCTTTCTTCATGATGTCTCTGGCTCTAATGTTCCTCTGAAGAATACAGGTGAGAGGATAACCAACAAAGCAAAAGCTTCCTACAATTGTGTAGTGGTATTACCAATTAAAGAGCACAGCAGCACATCGTCATAATTCTAGATCAAACAAATCACCGGTTCAGTAGCAGAGAAATGGTTACAAAATCGTTCTCATATTGAATGCCGTAGTTGAATGTATGCGTATACACACAATGCAAAACTATGGAAAGGAAACTACATTTTACGATAACCACCACAATTTTGTGAGAATCTTTATTTACATCATCATAAAGAAGTTCTATCAGAGGGAGCTGTGATGCAAGGAACAAATTCAGCCGAATCTAAAACTGAAGCCATCTCATTGAAGAGATCGTTCTGTTTTCTGACATAGAAAAGCTTATAGTATAGAGCCTGCACTAGTTAGAACATACCCTCTTTCTCTTCCCTCCCTATTTTTTATCTCTCTTAAAAAACTTCACAGTCTAAACAAAGATCCTAAAATCTGCAACAACTTGGTGAAATGGCATTTTTGGAGCAAATAGAACGGAGCAACCTCACTGTTTCCGGGAGATAAAGAATTCATAATCTGGCTGCTGATTAAACACCTTAACATTGTTTTTGCAAACACAACCTCTGGCAAAACTAAAGGCATTGTCTTCCAGAGTTCTGAGTCGCTTCACAATAATTTCAGAAGTCTTACATTGTGAAAATTCTTCCAAAGAAGTTTTGTCGGGTATTCTTGGATCAAACCAGCATTCTCCCTATTAACATGAGCATGTTAAACATTGTATTGATGGCTCTCAAAAGAGAATAATAAAAATTTTTCAGAGTGTAAAACCACACAAAGCCTAAAAAATTGACAAAAAAACCAAGCAGAGATACGATTAGAAGTATAACGTATTATGCAGTTTCAAATCAGTAATCCACTGAATATTCCAGAATGGGAGTTGGAAATTTTTTATCACTGTATCAGGAAGCAATATTACCAGCCTATGGATAGAACTTCATAATCTGCTGTCATACTCTCATATATAACACAAAAAAAAAAAAGAGTAACAATAGCATTATGAGAACGCAACCATCTTTGTAACTAAATTCCTATTTTCCATCTTTTGCAGCCATTCCTGTTTCAAAAATGAGAAGTATTATCCTGAAGAAATTTCAAACAAGCTTAAAAGAACACAATTTACCTGTGTGTTGTAGCTTTCCAATCCTAGTACAGGGGCAACAATACAAGTAGCCTTGTTTTGAAGAGAATCAGTAGGAATACATCTCTGAACCAAATGTCCTAGTGAATGGTAAGTCAAGAATGATGCATGGAAATTTCCTTCTGGGATCCGATATATAGGATACCAAGCCACTGAGTACCTGAAAGCAATTTATCCTGGTTTTAATATATTAGTCCCAACTAGAAACAAAGAGTCAAAATCGAAGCTAGTACTGGCTCTTACCAAGATGCAGGGTGTAGATCATGCAGATCCACAGACTCTAGTTTTGAAGGGTCACCAAATACTAGATTGGAAGTTCCAGTGTTAACAAGTTCAGCAATTCTGAAACTTGAAGTCGTTAACCAATATATCTTATCAAGTATTTGTGGGTCAAAGTAATCACTGTGCAGATTAAAAAAGCTTGAGATATATGAAAAAGAAGATAAATTAAAGACCATAAAATTACAGAAGTCAACTCATCAAACAAACTACACTTGGGATGAGGAAATAGAACTTTTGGACTCTTTTGGAGATATCTGACATTGTTTGAATGAGATAGCAAAAACTCTTCTTCTCCATCATCACTAGGACAACATCTGCAGAATGCAATCATGTCTTTCTTTCTCCATTTCTCAACCTAGATTGTTACAGTCCTTTTTCCTTTGCTTATGCTGCTCTCAAGTTTAATAAGACGTCTGCTTCGCCTTCTCATTGTATGAATATGCTGCTAGATAACAAGGCATGCTCCAAGCATGGTAACATATTTTCCTAGATTTTTAAAGTGAATTAACTTAAGCTAAACGAATTTCATTGTGGTACCTAAACAAGCAGTGCGTGAGAATATGAACAGAGGAAGCCTGATTGCAAAGCATAGGCAAGTGAAACAAGATAAAAAAGAACAGAATGAAAGAAAGAATACAGACATGGGGTCTGAGGATTAATGAATGGTTAATGAAATGAGAAGATTATTCATTATGATGAAATGGCAAAAAGGAAGAGATGGAATTTAGACATAACTGAGGTCAATAGGAATGACAAGCATATTGTATTAAATTAACACGTACAACAGCCTTGCATCAATAGCATCTGCAGGAACACTATAAAAACAGGCGGGAATGGAGGCTTCTGGGGCAATTTCTCCTTTTTTATTACTCGTAAGAGAATAATTTATTGAGAATCACAGAAAATATGAGGAAACTAGACTTGGAACTTAGTTACATTGACAAACAACCCACATAGCATTCTTAACAGCCATGACTTTTTATGCATGAACCAACCAATAAATGACTCACAGCAAGCTACAAAATCAATAGAGTAAAATTAGATTCAAGAGGAAAATCTTACTTAATATGAAGAGGCTTTCGCTTATGAGGCAGCTCAGATTCAAAAAATTCGAACATTAGTTCAGAATCACCCAGGCAGTCAAGTGAAGAAAGGAAGCCCTGAGAGTCTCCTGTCTTACATGACGTTGCATTATTTGAGATGCAAACTTCCTCGATAGAATCAAGATTTTTGTCTGATGTTTTATTTCCCACACAAAAATGACCAGGTTGAATTGCTTCTGGAGAATGTTTGACAAACAATGTTTCTAGAGAAGAGGAATTTAAATCAACTTCTTGTTTCTCTGGCCTTACATAGCCAAACAGTTGAATAGCAGAAAGGAAGGGAATAAAATGAGCTTGAAATGATGTCATTTCCGTTGGTCTCCCCTTTTGGTTATTATAATCTACTGCCTTGATTTCCAATCCATAATTTCCAGGCTTCTGATACCAGTTCCAAACAGCACGAAGTGATATACTAGGCATCTGATGCTTACAGAGGAAACTAGAGGACAGCTGACTAACTGAGCAAACTCCACATTTTGAACAACTATGTGAAAATGAAATAGCTGGAGAAGCAGAATGGATGAATCTTTCAAACTCAGCAAGAGGTTGGTCCATTTCAAGCTGAGCTTTCTCTGATTCCAATTGCAGTCTGTAAGCAGCAGTCAAAGCCTCTACTGCAACTTGTGAGTCAATAATTGACTGGGGGATACCTTCTGGTTCTTCAAAATATATCATGCTTCCGTTGGTGCTTTCAGAAGCATGAACTGCTGCTATGGCACCGTCTTTTGTTAATGTTGAGGTTTCATTTTCGTTTGAAGTCATTTTGGTTGCTGGGGTGGCTATGAGGTCACTGGTTGTAGTAGCACTAGAAGTAGTAGAACCAGAAATAGGAGTTACATTTCCTTTCAAATTTGTATAATTCATCTCTCCACATGAAGATGGCGAAGTATCACTAAAGACATTGCAAACATCACCAGTTCTCTCCACCACCTGAACAGGAATCCACTTCTTTGCTTTTGTTTCAGAATTGGTCTTTTTCCTGAATTTATACTTCTTGTAAACTCCAGAACCAGTGACTGATTTACTATTGTCAGAAGCATAAAAGGGCAAGGGATCATTAATGACATTGCAGAAACCAGCGAACCCGGTCCTCTCTTTCCTACAAACAGGAATCCACTTCTTTGCTTTCATGAGGTTATGCTCCTGATGAACTTGATAACCAGAGAATGGCTGACTGCCGACAGAACCACAAAAGGACCTACCTAACACATGGCTCGTCCTTTGCATCTTCATCCTGTTACATGGCTGGAATCCACCTTGGGCCGGAACCCATACTTTTGTTTCGCAATGGGCATTTTGCTGATCAGGAACAGAGGAAACGGGGTATGCATGGAAGCAGTTGGAGCTGTGAGTTGTAAAATGCTGGTTGTTGTATTTCACCTTTCGTGCTTCATCAGCATTCTTGCAATGATGCAGGTCAAAGGGAGCCTGTATTGATTCTTCACAAATGCTAGGCCTTTTATGAAGCCGAGTGAAATCTTCTTCCCAGGTCTTAGGTTCTTTCTTGCAATTAAAGTTCTTGTGGATAAATGAATGATTAGGCTTTATTTCTGAATGCTTCAAGACCTCTGTTTCCCAATTCCCCACTTGGTCTGACCAAGAAAAATTTTGAAAGAGGCTCTGATTAAACCTTTTCGTAGCAGCGTATTGAGAAGATTCAACGAATACTTCGCCTTGGATTCTTTGACACATTATCTCCTTATTTTCAGGCTTGTCGATTCCATGAGCAGTACAAATGTTTTTTGAGAAAGAAACATAGGGGTTGGGTAACAACCCATCACCTGAAAAGGGATTCTGCTCATTCAAGGATTTCTTCTCTAGAATGGTTGCATCTCTTCCGACAAAATTACATGTTGATCCTTTCTTAACCCAATATTTAGTTTCTACCCTGAAATTCATCTGACTTTCTGGCATGATTTGTAAATTCGAACTCCACCACCTAGACCAAATTCACCTACTTCCTGTATCAGCTATAGGATAAGAGTGCCTGCAAATGCAGTTTCCCAAAGAACTCTTTTCAATATGTAGGATCGATGCCTTGGAAGATCCCATCTACAGGAAATTTGTCCATGCAATGAAACACCAAACTTCAAAAATATAAAGATGCAGCTTAGAGTTCCCTACAAAGACCCCTGTGGATAAAAAAAAAAAAAACAAGGAAAGGGTCTCCTTCTATGTAAAGATTTGCAAGGTCTTCAGAGATTGACACTAATTATAGAGATACTAAATGGGTAGGACTGTCTAGTTTAATGTCAATTAATCGCATTAGTAATAATGAAACAGCTAGCGGTCCTCTCACATGCCTCACCATCTCAAAATCTGCCTTAAAACGGCCAAAATCCAACTTCTATTAATATAGGAACCCAAAATATCATGCAGTATTCATAATGAAACTACAAAGGAGTAATCAGTATACCTTACTCTGAAACAGAAAATCCCCATAAATTCTTTTGATATGAAAATGGTTCTTTATACAATTATATCCCAAAAGAAATGACTTTAAGGAGGCAAACAAGACTTATTACGCCAATTCGTTGAATATGCCTTGGAATAATAGAATTTCAAGAAACGGTTAAGAGTGCTTAGTTTATATAAGTTCTTCATTCATTGTTCGATTCGTATCTTGATTGTCCAAAAAGAAAAAAAAAAGAAAATGGCTAATGACGAGACGAAGAAAGGAAGGAAAGACAAGGCGAAAATGCTTCACAAAAATGTGGGTTTCCAATGTGATTACCAGACCTTAAACCCTAAAGAAAGGCAAAAGGACACCGACTTTGAATCAAATTATGAAACAAGATAATACAAAATGATAGTATTAAAGAAACAAATTAGTGTAAACAGTGTTGAATTAAAGAATATAAAAAAGAAGAGAAAAGAAAATGCAAGATTTTAAAAAGAAAAATAAAGTACCTGAGCAAGAAACAAAGAGAAGAGAGAAGACGCAGACTGTTGAAGAGCGCGGGAGGGAGAAATATGAAAATCCTTCAACAGCTCAGCAACGAATAAAAATAAGCATTTCTTTTATTTTCTTTTCTATTTTTTTAGGTTTTATTAAGACATTTTAATATCTTTTTAATATTTGAAAAAATAGCAAAATTTTAGTGCGCAGCGGTCGCTGATGATATTTTGCCTCCTCCGCAGGCCACGTTGAAACTTGTCTTAATTCAAGAGTTCACCTTTTATTTGATAAATATCAAGAATAGAAGAAAAGTAGAATAAAAGAGAATTTCTGTTTTCTTATATTTATTTAGTATGAAAGATGAAAATAAAAAAAATTAAGATAAAAATTTAAATAGAATAATAAATTTAAGTAAAATGAGTGTTTTTATCTTAATTTGAAATGATTAAATTTGAAGAGAAGGGAAATATACGATTTCATCAATTTTCCTTTTTTTTTCGTTTATTTTTCTTTTTCCAAACGAAGGAAAAAAAAAAACATCCACTTGCTTTCCTTCTTTTTTCTTTCCCTCTTACCAAAAATACTTTAAAGTCAAGGCTAGAAGAGTGAAAGAGAGGCAAAAATAGCAAGAATCATGTGAAATAAGGGGATGACACAGCCTCATGCCTTCAGCATGCATTGTAACAAGTATGATTTTGCACACTTTGAGCTTCATTCGTATAATGAAACAATGAATGTTATATAATTGGAATAGGGTAGAGAGGTTGATGAGCTGCCAATTAAGTGCACCGTCTTAAATGAACCACTAATAAGTGTAGAAAAGGAAAATATAATGATCTTCACGATAATTATTGTAGTATTTGAGATGGGAATTTCTCTTTCTTCGCCTTTTTCCATTCAAGGCACAACCCAATTGTACTTTAACCCAACTACCTAAAAGACCAACTTTACCAATTTTTACTGACGATTTTGGAAATATTTTTTATGCCCTAAATACTAACATATAATAAAGCGAATGTCTTTTTCCTTTTTTGTCTTTCACTTGCACAATTTTTTTTTTGGTAAAATATTTTTTATTTTTAATTTTTAATTATAATTTTACATAAATTTATTAATTTTTAATAAAAAATAAATAATCTATCTCAAAATAATATTTTTTTAATACATAAGTCCAATCATTAATTCACTATTAATATTTTCATTCGATCGATAACGTAATAATATTAAAAATAATTATTTTTTACTAATTTTAAAAATTATAATAATATATAAATTATAATTTTTTATTTTTAATATTTTTCTTATTAAAAAAACCTTTATCCCTTACCTCTTCTCCAGGTGGAATGTCAAATCCAACTCCGACTAGGAAGCGTTAGATCTGGCTCCACCCGGATTTCCCTCCCTTGCGCATCGTGTCCCCCACCCTTGGGCATCATGGCCCCCACCCTTGCACCCCCCAAGGGAGCCCGATAGATACGCATCCTTGGGGAGCATGGGGCTAGGGCGAAGAGATTCGGGCTCCGGCTCCTCTGGGGAGCAAAGGGGTGTGGGGCGCGAGGGTGGCCAACAAGCAGGGCCATCGACTGGCCTGCAAAAAAAAATAGTGAAAAAGAGGTAGAAAGAGAGACGGGTAATTTTAATATTTTATATTTGATCGTTAATGTAATTTATGTGTTTGAGGTAAATTATATATTTTAAAAATTAGTAAATTTATTTAAAATTATAAGTAAAAATTAAGAGATGATGATATTTTATTTTTTAAAATTGTTAGGTATGAGTTCAAAATAAATTTTAGTTGTACTTGAAGTAAATAAAATATTTGATGTTATACTATTGTTTTTTTGAAAAATAAATTTATATATGAAAAAGTGAGAAGAATTACTTAGTGTACTATCTTGATTGCCTGCCATAGACTCTATGGCAGTATCGTTCACCCTCAATCATTTTATGTTATACCATTAAAAAACAAAAGAGAAAAATGATTAAGAAAAAAAGGAAGAAGGCATGCCTCTTTCACCTTCGCGGGTTGCACTACTATGTAAAGTCATCTAGGATTTCGCAATTAGTTTTTGGTGACAATTAATTGAAATTATGTGTGCCTGTCATTTATTCGAATTATTAATTGAAATTCATTTATTTTGTAAAATTCATTAATAATTAGATTATTTCTTATTTGTACTTGAATTATTTTTTAAAAATTCATTAATTAATTTGATGATACATGTCGCTCATCTGAACTATTAAAGTAGGAATTTTTTCATGTTAATAAAAAATTTTGCTTTGTATATATTTATATTAGATAGGAGATAGATATGAGAGCAGATATTACAAAGCATAAACTGATGATGCATAAACAATAGATTGTCAAATCTGACAAGTTTCGATGGGTATTAAAGTATGTGTGCCTCTCTTTAATGATATTTTTACATGGAAATCTTTTCAAAGATCGCTGGTTTCTCAGCTTTATTCAATTTTATAAATCTTCATTCGTTTTCCCACTTGCCTTTTTCTTTTTTATCTTAATTCTTTTTTTTTAAAACAAAATTTCTATGGGCAGAAGCCACTGGCATCAAACGTTGGATGCTTTACGTCGGGTACCACCTTAGGCATAATCTAATAATCATGAAGACAATTTTTTATTTTGAAACAAAAATGGTTCACATCCTAATTATATATTCTATCCCAAACTTTTTTGTAAGAATTTAATTTTGCACGTCCAAAACTGGATCAACGTAGCTAGTCACATCACAACTTCTATCATTCACGTCATTCTAACCAAAACTTGATGTCTTTGTATGCCCTGAGAAAGAAGCAAATTCTTCTTCCACGTTTCGATTTGCAAGAAAACTACGGCGATTCATTGGATAAAAATCAATTTGTATGTTAGCTCAAGCTAATGCTATGTTTATTGTTCTATCAGCATTGCCAAAATAGAATGATAGGGTAACAACAAATCAGGAAAAGAAAAAGTTAGAAACTTCACAAAGATGATCATGCCTTTTTAGTATTTCTTATCCAGATTCAATGCTCTAGTCCTCTGGATAACACTCACCTCATCAGAAGGTACGTTGAAGGAAGACAGAATTCAAGTTCCTTGTACTGCTTGCCCGCCTGTTTGTGTTTGGTAGCATGACAAACAGCATCAAGTATATTTAAATTTGTCTCGAAACAGTGCATATACCAGACAATAATAGAATGCAAAAACCAATTATGAAACAAAAAAATGCAAGTCAATTTGGTTTAAGAAATGTAGATATCTCCTTATTGAAGCCAATTTCACTTTGGATTAGATTTATCTTCTTTTTTCATACTGTTGAGGTCAAAAAGGATGGAAGGGAGGACTGAACCGGTTAGAGGGGTTTCTAGTCGATATGATCAACTTCTTTGGTTGGACCGGGGGTGAAACCTGCAAAAATAGGTTACTAGAAGAGTTTCGGTGATATAGAGAGACAGATCTTTTGGGATGTGTTCTCGCCTTTGTAAATGGGGAGTATGTATATATCCTGACAGCACACCATGCCAACCCTTGATGGCAGCTGCTTTTGGGATGTGTTCTCACCTTTATATATGGGGAGTATGTAAATATCCTAACAACATAGCATGCAAACACTTGGTGGTAGCTGTCAAGAATACTTTTATCTTATGTGTCAGGGACGTGTAATTAAGCTTGTGCAAACATTTAGTTTGCTGAAATCGGTTATGGAAATCTCAAAACTAAGTTTCTCTTCTAAATAAACCGAAATTGAACTGAAATAGTTTAGTAATTGAAACACTGAACACTAAACTATTTCGGTTAATTCAATTCGATTACTGAAAATTGAATTCATGAAAATGAAGGGACAAAATGTAAGGATGTGGCATTTTTCTTATAAGATCTCATGTTGAGATTTTTTTTTTGGTTTTGTTATTTTAATTGATGAGATTTTCTTTTGTTTTCTTTTTTAATTGAATAATAGAGAATTAAGAATGAAGAATTTTATTTTGTCTTTTGAACTCAAAATTCACTTATCTTCTTTAAGTATTACTTGATTTAGTTAGTTTGGTTACTGTGGTTGGGTAAATTCAATACCAAAAATTGAGCCAAATAAACCATTCTAACCGAACTTAATGAACCAAAATAATTGAATATCAAACTAATCGAATAAAAAAAATTGAACTCACTTCAATTCGGTTCGATTTGAATTTGCACACTTTTACATGTAACACCTTCTTTGGATGCCACGTGCCCCCCAAACTGGTGAAAGGGCTTGATGGATCTTTGGTTGATTGGGTTTTAGTCCCCACAAATATAGCAAGGTAAACATTTGCTCCCTCAAACGTGTTAGAACACTAAACTAGAAAATCAAGAAATTGGCTTCAAGACCTGTATCAATGTCACTATCTTTAAGGTTTCATTCGCCCTCACTTGTAATGTGCAAAAGAGTTACCGGTATATAAACCTCGAAGATGCAATGAAGCCTAATGATTGACAGTATTTTGTATTTACGAAATCAATTCACTAAGCACTAATAAGAGTATGACAATATTATATAACTTCTATAAGATTTTTCTGTAACAAAATGATATAGAAGGAAACTTAGAAAATATGAAAGGAGAAATTATTATTTTATTGTTTTCTATTGTGTTTTTTTTTTATGTTTTATTGTTCCAAAGGAGAGTCTTTTTATGAGCATAGGTACCTATTCCCAATTGGCACAATTTGTGTTTGTTTCAAATAGTCACAACTGTTGGTCTTTTCCAATACAAGTGACTTTTCTTTTATTTCTTTATTTTCAATAGACATAATCCTTCCTTTATTTTCTAATTTCCAACATAAATAACTTTTTCTTTTATTCCAATATGGGTTTGTGTCTCATATTTATTTGAAAATATCCAACAATCTCCCACCATTTTCAAAGTAATCCAAATTTTTGATAATTTTAAAAATTAATTTCATAAATGAATGTGTCTTTCAATTGAACCTTCACTTAATGAAAACATGTTAAAATTAATGAAAATTGCATAGTAGACTATGGTTTGAACTAGCTATTTCATATGGTTAACCGAACACATCTAACACAATGATTCAACACCAATGAAAGCATATTATTAGTTAACACTA